AATACAATCCAAAAGCTCACATAAAAGTTTGCTTTACTGTATACCCCAACATCAAGTACCTCAAAGGTACATCCTCTCATGGGCTCTATTTTCCTCAAGACAGTCATTTTGGACTGAGTGCATCGGATTGGGCATCATGCAATGGTACAAAGAGATTTGTTACTAGATTTTGCATCTTCTTATGAGGTTAACTTATATCTTTGAACAACAAAGAAGCAAAACACTGTCTCCCGGTCGTCCACTGAGGCCGAATATCAGGTCGTGAGTTCTACTGCCTCGGAGTTGATGTGGATTGGGCATATTCTCAGTGATTTCAAGATCTCTATTGCTTGTCCTGTTTCATTGTGGTGTTACAATATGGTGACATTACATATCTCAGCGAATTCGGTATTTCATGAGCGAACTAAGGATCTAAAGACCGATTGTCATTTTGTGAGAGATATGTATAACTCGGGGTTTGTGCAACCTTTGCATGTTTCTTCAAGTTTGCAACTTGCTGATGTTTTCACCAAGATATTACCTAGAAAGCAGAGCAAATTTTTGTTGTCCAAGTTTAGCATGTCTTAACCATGCTCCACGGCTGTTGGAATAGAGATTGAGGATTGATGATCGAATGGAAGATAATAATCCTGTGTATGTCGAATGGAGGTCTGAGGAAGAACAATTTGATTTTCTGCTTTTTCTGTTATGAGTAGAATTCGTGTTTGAGTTGCTAGTGTTTTACTTGTTGTTGCGTCCTTATTAATAGTTACGACGTCGTTTTATGTTAGTAGAGGAATAGAACGATGTGACATCGTGTTGTGTGCATGAGACGGAGTATAAATAGGTCATCTTCTTCTTGCATGTAATTCAATTTTACCTGAATATATAAAAAAATGGAGTTTCAGACATAATTTCGTGCGCTCTTTAATTTTCACAAAGACACGAGGATTTCACACAACATTTGAAAATACAAGGGGAATTGAATCTATACGCAACATTTAAAAAATAAATAAAAAAAAGGTTTTATCTAATTTCACTAAGTTTGTACGAGTTTGTACTTATAATTATATTCTGCAAACTCTACTCCCTGCATCCTTCAGACAAGATGGATTAAGATGTTCAACGGGGAAGAAAACGATTGTAGTAAAATCAAAGTTATATTATATATATACAAAGAGGGACTACCTTGAGATCGAAACCATGGATTGTGTTATGGTTCGACTTACATATATAATACGATTCTGATCATTGAAATTTGTTTAGCTGATGCATTGTGAGTAGACATGGTCATGGGTCGCCCGACCCGCTGACCATGTCCGGAACCGCACAAACCCAACATGGACCAACTCCTTGACCACGGGTCGGGGCCCGTGCCCAGATTTACACCGGATCAGTTCTACGTCATATATATGTAACATGTCACCTGACGGGCCAAGCCAATGTCGGGCTAACCTTGGAAAATCAATGGTCAAATTATTTATTTATTTATTTGTGATGGGTCCCGGGTCAGAACCCGACTCATCGGGTCACTAAGCGGGCCTGGCCCGGTCCGGAGTTAGGCCATGTCTAATTCTGGTGTATAGTATTTTGGTGATTGTCTAAGCATCTTATATTTCAGTCATCAAGGAAACAAGTTTATATTTTATGAATGAAGATTCTGAAGTCTGGCACAACAATAAATAATTGAGGCCGAATGGCTGATGAGCTTGGGATTAGACTTTCCAGTAGTAAGAATTGTCTAATTGGAATATTTCTCAGATTCATGTTATCCTTGGACAGATTTT